CTACAATCTGTTTGGTATTTTGAAAAAAAAACTTCACAGACATGTTTTGTATAGGTATTTTTCCAATATAGCATGATAGGTCCACTTTAAACTGAAGCTTGACTTTAAATCAACCCAACGGAAGTTTCATGTAAGTTTAGTTCTTTCACTCGTAGCTCGGGCTGCGGGGGTGCTAGAGATGGGAGCACGTTGATACGACCTTCCTAGCCGGAGATATGGCCGCATTTTACAATAAACTTCCGTTGGGTCGCTTAAAAACAAATATCGCAAATTGAATCGCAACATTTGTCAGAAAAATCACAATTAGATTTTTTCCCAAAATCGTGCAGCCCTAATTCCTATAATAACTTGTTGTCCCGTTTTTTATTTAGAGTTTGAACTCCAGTTAAGCACATCATGCTTAACGGGCCCAATGAGCAAACACATGCCTTTTTGTGAGATCATATCCTGGTAATAACCTGTTTCTACTTTGTAAAACTGCAGTGCAGAGGAACAAGAACGCTCTGAGCTGCCTGCATAATATTGCAGTTGATAACTGTGTATTGAATAACCTCCAACTCAGCTATTAATGGAGTCAACTGAGTTTACAGGAGCCTCTGGGTACAGTACAATTGATCCGTTAAAACGACATAAAAATAGATCGTGACAATGACTAATGATCAGTGTTAGGGTGCAGAGAGACTGTCCTGCTGCTGGGAAATCACTCCTGCAAGTGAGTAACAAAGCAATGAAACCTCAAACTTGTTCCCGTAATATACTTTTGTTGTTATTGAAGCATTAAAGCCTTCGTTTTGGCTGAAGCGCTCATTATCAGAGTGGCCTTTCGATTAAAGCCCTCAGGAGGCGATCTAGAGCCAAAGCCCTTAATGCCATCTGGTTTATACTTAACACTTCCACCAAGGAAACAGTCCTGCCCTTGTTTTGCGCGCGCGTGTGTGTGTGTGTGTATTTGTTTGTGCTGCTACGCTGTTCTGCTCAACATGCTAATCAGTTGATTCCAGACAGGTGGAAGTAATAGCCGTCAGAGTTTTTAACGTCTCTCTCGCGGTTAGCTTCATTAGCTGATCACAGGCACAGATGCTCTGTTGCAAACGAACCTCCTGGGTCTTCTATTCCCCCCCCCCCAGCGCCCAATCTCCCGGTTCCTCGCCTCCTATCTCCCCCAGGCATCTGACTAGCCTCAATATTACACAACATGGCAACGTTTTGTAACGGTATCTGTCTAAATGTGTCTGTTTCTCCATGGTTTATATTATATACGCAGTCTTGAGACAAACAGAAGAAAAAAAATCTAAGTTTGTCTGTTCTCACAAACGATACTCATGTAAACAAATCTTTAACAGTTGGAAAAAGGGGATGTCACCATTATTTATTCATCTATCAGTATTTTTGATCAAATTCCGATGAGAAGTGGAGTTATTTGCTCGTTTTGTTCTAAAAATGCAGATTACATGAGTTTTTGACTTTGATTTATGCTTTCATCCAGTCATGAATATTGAATGTTTCAAAGAAATGTGCAGCGTCAGAAAACATTAATAACAGCATATTGGTGGTGGTGGGTTATATCTAGGATTGTGCCTTTTTAAAACGAATATGTATATTAAGTAATACTCACATACACTTTGTGAGTATTTCCCTCATCGTATTTGATGCTTATAGGACAGGATCACCTTTGAAAAGTCCTGCTTACTATTGTTTTCTATCACATTATTGACTGATTTATATAATGATATAAATACATGTGCTGCATTTCTTCAGAAAATTATAAAATGTGAAACAACATTGACTTTTCTCTTCTTTATTCTCCCTTCTCCTTTCCTCCTCTTCTCTTCTTCCACCAGGGTCGCCATGTTAAGACAGGGCAGCTCGCAGCCATCAAGGTCATGGATGTCACCGGGGTAAGACACACACACCTAACACACCACACACACACACACACACACACACACACACACACACACACACACACACACACACACACACACACACACACA